GTGAGGGCATCTATCCACGAACAGCAGGTAGAAAAGCAAAAAAAAAAAAACATTCCTTATGCTGTGATTGCGGTCCGATACAGGATGCTACAGTACTAGTCTGGAACTGAATGAAGCGAGGCAGTTGCCTCGCGTGGAATCCGCCCTGCCTGGCTGGACGCTACAAGGACCTCACAAAAAAAAACAAGAAAGGGAGACGACCTGTTCACGTTCCTCAGTCAATCGGTCAACTAATCAATCAACCCATACACAGATGGAGGAGTGGGCCGGTCAGAGAGGGGGTGGCCACGTCGAACGCAGGCCAATCAATCCATCAGTCAATCCATCTATCGAATGGATTGATTGATTGATTGATTGATTGATTGATTGATTGATTCATCCAATCAGGCAATCAAACAATCAATCAATCAGTTGATCAGTCAACGAATCAGTCAATCAATGCACAGATGGAGGAGGGGGGCGATGGAGAGGGGGTGGCCACGTGGATAGCACTGACTCTAACAACAAGCTTTTTTTGGCTTCCGCATGAAGAAGAAGCATTCCGGGTCTGTGAAGAAACACTTCACGGATTTGGGCTTAAAGGGAACAAAGATTGGCAGTGCAATTACTGCGACAAGACTCTTCAGGGCGCCGCCACCAGGCTGAGGAAGCACTTCATCAACGGGGGGAGGGCGTGTAAAGTGCAGCAGTTGAAACGGACTATATAAAGGGAGGAGCTATTGCAGAGGGAAAGGGGGAGGAAAGCTGCGATAGCTGAGATTGAAGGGAGGGCAGATGATGCCACAGAGTGTTCTGAGGATGAAGCGATTGTAGTGGAGGAGGATACGCCTCCTCATGCCGGTAGAGAGGGTGGCGAGCCCGTGAAACGCCTACGGCAACCCACCATCTTGCAGAAGGGTGCTGTTTTGACAACCATGAGGAAACGCAGCAGTCCATCGATGATTGGATGACCGCGGAATGCATCCCCTTCAATATGATGAGAAGTGTGTATTGGGATCGTATGGTGCAAAAGTTGATGAATGCGCCGACGGGCTTCAGATATGCCAAGTACGATAAGGCGAGGACAACACGTGTGGAGAAAACCAAAACGAGAATCAGGGCAAGGGTGGAGGAGTTGAGGAAAGAGTGGGTGACCACCGGATACATGCTGCAGCTCGACGGATGGACTGACCGTCGAGCGAGACCACATATCAATGTCATGGTCTCGTTTCCGAAGGGTGTCATTTTTTGGCGGAGCGTGTGCATGGTTCGCCGCGAAAAGGGGGCTGCTGCTTACTACAAGATTTTGAAGAAAGCGATCGAGGAGGTAGGGAAAGAATCGGTCGTTGGTGTGGTGATGGATAACGCAGCAGTCTGTGCAGCTGCAGGGAGAATGGTGGACTGGAGTTCGGCCACATTTTCTCGGTGCCGTGCACTGCGCATAGCATTGACTTAGTGCTGGAGCAGTTTGCGAAGATTGGGTGGGTCGACAATGTTTTGAAGAAGGCGACGGAGGTGGCAAAGTTCTTCACGAACCACGGCAAAGTTCGGGACCTGCTCACAATTTATTCCAAAGGAATAGTTGTGGCAAAACCGGGGGCAACCCAGTTTGCGACCAACTTCATTATGCTCGATAGTGTGCAGGAGCTGTACTTGTCACTTCGCGCATGTATCACTGACCCTGATTGGAAGCCGAACATTGTGAACCAATCACAGCGACACCTTTTTGAGAACGCCACTGACCTTGTTCTTGACGATAAGTTCTGGGCAGGAGTTGAGAAGGTCCAGTCGACGTCGAAGGAGCTGCTACTGCTTCTGAAGTTTGTGGATGGCGAGGGTCCGACAATCAGCAAGGTGTACGCGCCCATGGACAGCGACGTGGAAAAGTTGCGGGCGAAGGAGTGCTTTTCCCAACAGGAAAAAGATGAGCTAGAAGAAATCATAATGCGACGGTGGAACACCATGACATCGCCTCTTCACTGTGCAACGATGTTCTTGGACCCAGAGTATCGCAGGTCCAAGCTGGAGAAAGATGCAGAGGTGATGGACGGGTTTTGGACTTGGGTGTACTTGTGGTGCAAGCCGGACATGTATCGGGACATGGATGAGGAGGTGGACCGGTGGATTGATGGTTTGGGAAGGTTTAATTCAGAAGAGGCAAGAGCAGCGGCACGAGGGGAGAAGCCAGCAAGGCGGTGGCGGAAATGGTGCAGTGAGATCCCGAACTTGCAGAGGCAAGCGATTCGGTTGCTCGGGCAAGGTTCCTCCAGCTCTGCTTGTGAGAGGAATTGGAGCCTGTTTGAGCGTATACACTCGCGGCCAAGGAACAAACTGTCTCCTGCGCAGTTGAACAAGTTGGTGTTTAACAGATGGAACCAGCATCTGTCGGACAAGATCACAGGAAAGAAGCCGGACCGTGGAAATATTGCATGGGAGGATAGCGAGGCCGAACTGACTCCAACCGAATTGTCCAAGGAAGCAGAGCAGCGTGTGAAGGAGTGGCGGGAACGACTGCGGCGTTTGAGGGAAAGGGAGGTGGAGAGCTCCAGTGATGATGAGGATGATGACGATGAGGAGAAGGAAAATGGTCAGGGTGGTGGCAGGGCAGCAGAAGGACACATCTCACGTCTAAGACATCAAAGTGAGCTCCTTGAAATGGAGAGGGAACTGAATGAGACATGGAGGAAGGCCACGCGGCCTTCCAAGTGGATGGCACGTTCTTACTTGGGGGAGGTGCAAAGGGCAGCAAAGACCATGACAGTGGAGCACGCTGATAAATACATTTCTGCTCGCCAAGGCGTGCGCTCCTGCCCCCCAAACAGCGAAGCGTGGCAGAGGGAGACCACGAAAGGCCCCACAGGTAGGGGAGGAGGATGCACTGACACGAGGTTCCGGTTGCGATGAAGCTGATGGGGGGGAAGACGAGCCAAGGTTGGAAGCAGAGGCAGCAGCCCATGAGCCAGTGAAACGAACCCGTGACAAACCACGGAAGGCCCAAAAGCTTGTGGAGGAGGTGGTTGAGCAGGGGGCCATGGAAGATGAAGAAGGTGAGGCAAACAGTGGCGAAAGTGAGGAGGGAGAAGACGATGACGAGAGCAATGACTCCGAAGAGGAGCCGCTCATTGTCAAACTGCGCAAAGCATCGGACTGAAC